TCCAGTGATTTTCGTGACCTCAAAACTTATCCCAAATTTTTATGTATTTTAGGTTAAAAAGATAAAATTTAAATAAAAGATGACGCTCGATAGATAGTCCACCCGGCCCTTAAATTCGTTCTCTGGTAACTCCACGTATTCTGGATTGTCATGTTAATTATTCCTTTCAGGTTCATGTACTGGCATTGGCGCATGTACTGCGCAGACCAATTATTATAATTGCTGAAACAATGCTGCGTGATTCTGAAGGTGTGGCCTTGGCACCTATTCCTTTTGGTGGTGTTTATCTGCCGCTGGAAGTTGCACCAGAGAAATGCCATCGTACACCATTACTACTTGCCTATCATTCGGCTCATTTTTCTCCACTTGTAACTGTCGATGGAGGCAATGATTTTGGCGATGGAGCTGTTGAAGGGGTTAGCATACCACTTGTTGATCCAGACACTGGGCAACTGCTGCCTGTTTTATTCGCTGTCGATCCAGGTCTTGAGTGGGACTGGACTGTCAGCTCACAGCCAGATCTCCTGCCTTGTCAGCAGGATATTGTGAGTTTAATAATTTCACTGTGAATGAAATGTGATGATTATTTTTATCAGCAGAAGAGGAAATATTGAGGTGGATACGATTTATGATTTTGATTTGGATGGATGAATTTTATTTTCCAGATGGAAACTTTGATTAGAGATTATCTAGACTGTGAATATCAGACGTTGACCTCCGAGGATTTGGAGAGGCTCTCAGAAACCGATGGGTCAACCTCCAACAAGAGTAGAACAGCTAGACAACTGTTGGGTGTTGCCAAGCAATTTGGATCAATTGGAAAGTCTGTGAGCAAAAGACTGTGGTCAATGGCAAAGAGACCAAAGAGCCCACCAGCTTCATCCACCGGTGCAATAACTGAGGGTGTTCTGTGCGTCAGACTTAAAAGTCGACGTCACCAATATGTGGATCAAATGCTCCAGAATTATCTCCAGTGCGCTCACTCAAGGTAATTCATCAATTCCATCACAAAATTATATCCGTAAAAAATAAATCAATTCTATTTTCATCATTTTTATCATTGTTTTTGGGGCATAAAAATCATTGGATTCTATTTATAATCGTGGGAATGCAACAAAGAAATCCCGAAATAATCTCCAATGAGAATTAAACTCGTATTCACAATTAACTCAGTCAACACTCGAGTTTATGATCTCTATTCCATCACCATTAGCAACATTTTTAATTCCAGATACTTGGAGACACATCAGAATGACGCCTCGGGGACTGAAATGAATTACGGGGCGGGTAAATCCAAGTTTTACGCTGCGAGTGATAGTGGTAGTCACGCCAGTGTCAGTAAATTGCAGCCAAAAAATACAAGTAGAGATCGTACCTTGTATCTCTCTAGGTAAATGCGAATAAATTAGATTCTCAAATAGAGATATTAACCCTCTTTCCTCACTTTGTTGCAGGTCAACGTTTTATAATAACGAAATAACACCCGAGGACACTGAGACCCCAGAGCCATGGCAAAATGTTGATGTACATGATGTACGTTGAGGAAAAAGTCACAACGCAATTGAATATAATTTAATTAACATTGCAAAAAAAATGCGAGCAAAATACGAAATTCAATTGGTTAAATTCGTGAGAGTAAAAATGATTGAGTATATTATGAAGATTGATTCAATCAATGATTTTTTGTTCACTCCAAGCCAATGATAGATTAACAGAGCAATTAAATGTCAGTTAATTGATATTCTGCGTTGAAAAATAGTAGGAGAAATAGAAAATTAAATTGATTGTCATTGTTAATATTTCAGGGTGTACCGCGTGAGTGTCGCAGTGAGCATTGCCAATTTTTTGGTTCACCAGAAAATCAATACTACTGTTCGCAGTGCTGGGCAAGTCGTAGACAACGATGATGAGTCTGTGTTAATTCATTATTTCTCCTTCATTGCCTCCATGACAATAACCCAAGTATTTATTTTGCCAACGTTATTGAATAAGTTTACCAAGCAATTCAAGGCGGTTAATGCATGATAAGAAGCATAAAGATGTATTAAAATTTTAATGAGATTCTCAGAGTTAATTAATTATAACGAGTTGACAATTGACGATGAGTTCAGCAACGAATTACGTTGCCTTTTCACGTTTGAGCTTCGATGCTATTTCAAGTGACTTTGCTTTAATTCATTAACCATTTCGATAGGAGAATCTTTAGATTATTAGAGGATAATTAATGGAACTCGACGTGTTCAAACTCTACGGACGTAACCCACTGATATTCATAAACCAGAGATAAATAGAACGTAGAATTATTCGTTTGATTATCTATTTTTAGTGGGAATCGGTCTAAACCTCCAGTGGAATTTCCAATATTGGATGGATAGACTGCTAATCACTCTGAGTCTCGAAAAACAATGGAAATTAATATTACGATTAAACACGTTGATATGTGCCTTGTTTTTTCGTATAAAAAACAATATCGAAGACAAAAAAAAAATACTCGAACGTCGAAATGATCCAATCACATATTATATATTTTTTTAAAAGCTCTCGCTGTGAAAATTGACTTTTTTCACTCTATCCATCACTTTACACATATTTTTTTCCTTTTACTTTACGTCAATTATGACATGGCCTCTGCCGAATTAGTCTGACCCATTTGTCGACCATTAATCTTCAATCTAGGCGATAATTAGCGATTAATGAATTGATGATATCGAGTCTCAACGAAAGTGTTATATCGATCATTAAATTTTGTGCTTGAAATTAAAAAATATTCTGTCAACTTGTGTGAATAAAATAAGAGAATATTTTTTTAACAATTTCCTATTTTCTTGTTCCTCTCACTTAGACAAATAAGAATATATGATCATTGAGGGAACCAGGCTCAGGGGTTTGGGGTGATGGATTGCTCTCAGGAGACCCAATTGGCCTGTCTCGATGTGGCAGGTGAGATACTTTACAACGGACATAAAATTGTAATATGTGATTCCACGTGAAAAGTAACGCGCCAGATGAATTTTAGTCACGTCATTTGACTGGCATTCAACTTCCATTAGTGCTATAAATCAGAATATTTTCGTGGGGGAGCTTAAATACGCGGTTCATTTCCTGGTTAATGGCTCGAGCATGTTGAGAATAACTCAGGGTCCAGGACATCGGCAAGATCTGACGGTCGGGATGAGCATAAAAATTACGCAGTCGTGGTCACCACCCAGAATAAAAAAAACACTTGCAAAAACAATAGTTAATCAAAAATATTGCGTGTTGCCAGATATTTACTCATCATTAAATTACCTAATCATTAATATTAAACAAATTCATAATTTCTGTAAGCCATAGTGACGATAATGTAATTATAATTTAGGACAGAATTCAATGAGTGATTGATGATTGAATGAAAATTTTAACTCGTGGAATATTTAGTTTAGAAAATTTCATTTATGATAAAATAGAAGGAAAAATGTGATGCAAGACTAAAGTGAAAGTTTGACGTGATATTTTGAGGGAAAAGAGGCAATGAGAGGTGTGGTATACTGTGAGGATATGGTAGAAGCTTCCTAAAATATACAGAGTATATTCCGTGTATATCGCTGTGCCAGGGGGACTTTCCTCTGGGGTATCACACTCGTAAAAACTAATGTCACGGTATACATGTATATGGATGCCGAGGGGAAAGGGAAAATTGAGAGGTGAATGGTCATGTTGGAGATGTGCAGAGGACAGAGTTCTTTTTCAGCGTGAAAATTGTTGTCGCACCATGGGATCAACCAAAATTCCGACCATCTTTGCTCATCCACTCAATTATTCAGTATCATTGCGTATGAAGGGATAGTACTGCCCAGTTTCCTCTTTATATTGCGCATTTTCCTTTTTTCCCTCTCGTTTTTCGTAATTGGAATGGGAAGTAAATGGGATGGACGACCAGAAATAATCCGAACCGTCTGACCAATGAATTTTATTTATTTCGAAAATTTCAGATGATTTCTCCTTTTTTTCTATTCACATTCAGTAAGAATATCGCTAATCCATGAAAAGTAATATCGATAAGTATTAATTTATGTTTGACTGTCAATTAATTAATATTATTACTATATTGATGTCTTGGGGAGAATAAATTTATTGTTTGATTAAGTTAAAGTGAGGAAAATGCGAATTTTTGCTTGAGAGATAATTGAATAATTTGTAATCTCATATTTTATTTGTGAGAAGAAATCCGGAGAATGGTCTTGACCCCATAATTCTCGGGTGGGTAAAATCCCCGGAAAGATGTAGCCATTACGCCAAGACTCGGAACAAAAGCTGATCCTCCATTCTACCGTATTTATTTAGGACTCCACCTGCAAGCTGAGCAAGTAGAAATACAGATCTCAATTCCGACGTAATGAGGCACATAAATATCCCCGAGGAATAGCCTGGGATGCACCGGTGGTGAACAACTTGAATATGGAACCGTCGAACGCAACTGCGATAATTCTCTAGTTTCTCTCGACTTCTCCATCACCAAACCCTGGACTAGCATCAACACGTACCACAACGTTGGAAACGTGTTTCCAGGATGGAGTTATCGTCCACAGACTCAGTTGAATGTGCATTTCAAAGTCACCGAGGTAATAACATCTCGCTAAATTCAGTTCACTTCGAATATATTTCGGTATATACTGAACATTACGCTTTTGAGGGTTTGGAAGCTACTTGGATCCCATGGGATACAGGAATATCTGGCGAGGACACCATCATCTGAGGTACAACCAACTCAATTCTACTCGTCAAGGAAAGTTATCAAACTTGTTCAGTTGGATTCAAGGGTGGAGTATTTAAAATATATGTGCTACCGCAGGAAAAAAAAATGATCAACTCTCAGATTTTATCAAAGATTTCAGCAATTTCCAGAAGTTGAAAGGACATGACCACGAGAATTCCTCAATTTCGTTGTATTACTAGAACCAAAACAAAACCAAAATCAAAACTTGATGAAAGATTGGTAATTATAAAAGTGGAATACTTTCGAATGCTATTAAATTTTCATCGAAGTGGAAAATGGGAAATGGTAAAAAGGGGATTGAAATAGTGTGGAAGGCTCCATAGATCGTTTTTCCCCTTGGAAATATCGTTGGTACCTGGTGGGTGTGGGCGAATACCCACGGTGAAGGTGAATTCGTTGGCTCAGGAGAGTGTGAGGGTTTTATACCTCTGGAGAAAACGTTCCTCGAGCATTGGCCAACCGCAGAGGCATCCCCCCAGATATGTAATTTGTAATAACTCTCCATTTGCTCGTACCACCGGTATTAATTTTACATAATGAATTTCCAACCCCGTAAGTTACTTATGTACACGTTAATGAACGAATCGCACTGGAGAGGTGGAGGCGGTAAATCGTAATTTATGAGATTGGAATTGATATTTTATTTCGAGGGGGTGGGAAATTGGTTTTTGTTGGTTTTTCAATTGTTTGGGGTAATTGAACTGGCAGATGGTGTCACCTGTTGACCTCGATATCAATCGATACGTTTTAAATCATCAGATTTCGCGGGATCGAGTTGAAATTATCTGTCAAATAAAAAAATCATTTTTGATAATTAATTATCATTTTTAATAACCTGAACTATTGCTCTTTTTTTTTAATCGCTTGGGGTCATTAGGGGAGGAGATAATTTAGGGCAATTGTGGATTTGTTTTGGGATTGATGGACTGATGTCAGGGGTAATTAATATTCCGAGAGATATTGGTCTCTGCGTTTTATCCCGCAAGTGCGGAAGGTGTATCACGTGGCCGGCGGTAATTTGCGGACTTTAATACCATTCCCTCCGTTTGTGAAAGGGGTAAAGAGAAAAGAGGGATTTCACTCACTCTTCTGACGGTTCAAAGTTAGTAGGAAACCGCATCGTCTAATCGAGGGGGTGTGCTTTAACATCCGAACCACGCCAGGATATATTGTTGGATCACATGAACGAGCATTTGCTCAGGGAAAATTCTCAATGCTAAGAAAATTAATGGGATCATTTCAATTAAAGAGAATTTTTCATTTCAAATTAATTTCTCAGTCGAAGGCGTTTTGCCAATTAACGTGGGTTTCAGGGAAATATTTATTTCATTATAAAAACTCATGGAGTTGCAATAATTTTCGTAATTTCATATCGATTTATTATTATACTATTATATTTTTTATATTGGTATTATTTACTTATTATTATTTTTATATTCTTCATATTTATATTTTACTAACGACAAGATATGAAAATATAAAATATCAAATATTTACAAATGAGTATAATATAATGTTGTAAAAAATATTTATGATATTCTCATTAATTTGATGAACTGAAAGTGTCTGACCATTTTTTTATGGGGATTATTCGCAAACGCATCAAGGTCTACTAGCCTAAATGCTAAATGACTATCATCAAAAGCCCATATTCATTTTGCCCATCAGAAAATCATAAACACTTAACATACATTACGCTGATTACACCTCCGAACAACAATTTCCCACGTAGATTACCCATAAAACATTAATCGCGACGCTCCATTGGACTTTCGGTGTGTAACTAGGAATAAGCAGTGACAGTAATTGCGTTGTGCCCTTCATGACATACGAAAATTTTCCACTGACGTTTTAATGGTTAAGTGTTAGTGTACTGAAGGGAAAACCCCTTCATTTAGCATTACCCAGTTTACACCCCAGTTATCCCAACAATAAATGTAGACGAGAGCCTCAACCCACAATTACACCATACGATTATTAAATTAGTATCACATAAATTAAATAAACCAAAAACGGATGAAAAATGCATTAAAATTAATTATTTGTCGACAATTATAATAAATTGTAACCCTAATAAATTTAAATAATAATATTGAATAATATTGATAATATAAGGTTTTTTTTATTAATTACAATACGGAAAATTGAATGGAAATTATTTACTGGAGAATATTTATCAAGTGGAATAATTCCCGTGCAAATTATGACCCAACGCTGAGTCATTATCTTAGGGATGAAAAATAGCGAGAAAAAGTGGTAAATGCAGCGACAAAATGGAGGTAGCAGTAAAAAAAAAGGAAGTCGTCCAGGCGAGAATTATCGCGCTGGATTATAAATTCCGAGCAACTCACATGTACAATATTCTACATCACACAATGTATAAATTTCAAAGTTATCTATGCTAAGTACAGTTGAAAGTGAGTCTAATTACGTTAGTGCATTTTCTCAATAAATTCGTACTGACGTATTTTTATGGCTCGTTTCCGTTTTCATTCATGAACAGAAGGGAAAATAAAGGTATGACAGATGTTTAATGGTCGAGGTACCTTTACCGTGAAATTAGTCTATGCAAAATAAAATTCCAGGGAATTAATTAGCCCTTGAAATTCATATAAAAAATTTGTATTCGGTGTAATTTAATTTTTTATTTCATTCATTTTATTTCTTCTCATTTCATTTCTTATGCGATTTTTCGGCATTTGCTTTAGGGTTTTCTTTTTTTATTGAGTATATGTTTTACGGTAATAAATATCAATCGATCAATCAACTACTCAATACATTTATTCCCATAAATCGATTTAATGGAGTTAAACCCCATTGACCCTCAATTGTGACCCACAATTGATTTGACTTGAATAATTACTCCACTCAGGGATTTATTTAATTGATAACCCGTAGTTCGGTAATATTAGAGAAGATCTGAGTATAGCATTAAATATCGATTAATCAATTAATCAATTAATGTCTTTTTATTCCAAGTTGTGAGGGAAGCTGTGAAGTTTAATGGATTTTGGGGATTTATAGGGGAGATTTATGGGAATCGGGTGAAATAAAAGATTGGAATAAGATTTGGAATAATGGGGATGAGTTTGAAGGAGTTGCTCACTCGATTGAGTTCAAGTGGAAGTCTCTTTTCCGGAGAACTTGCCTAGAGGCCAATGCATTTTGTAGGGCTCATAAGGTTCTCTCGTGCCAAACCTATTCCTAGAAAACTGAAGGAGTTCTCTTACTCCAGGGTTACTGCACTTCAGGGACGAGTTACCCAGCTCAAACCGCTCTCATGATACCCTTGAAAATCTTCCGTCGCTCCGGCTTTCGATGTTTTTCTCATGTACATTTTCCTTTCGTATGTACTTCATTCCATTTATACTCTGGTATTCATGGAATTTTCATTCGGGTAAGGAAAATATTTGTCCGGCAGATTAAAAGAAAAAAAATTCAATTCACAAATTGCTTTCATTGAAGTTGAAAAATCATTTTTACCACTAATTTCACCTTTGATATCTTCCATTTTACCGGGTACATATTTGCGTCCTCTAATTGGTGAGTAGAAATTCATAATTCAATGCTTTATCTTCTGATCCCAAAGAAATGAGTTTTTTGAGTTTTCCGAGGACATAGTGGTAATGGGAAAATTAGTTTTCTCTTGGAAATGAATTTACGGTTCTTTCACTCTTGTCTATTTGCATTCTCCTTTTGTTCTGTTTACTCCGGGGGTCAAAGTTCTCATTGACTCCAGTTGCTTATTGAACCACAGAGACGAACCAATCCACAAGAATAATCAACAGAAAATTGTTGTTTATCCATTTCCTTTAATCGTCTTTAAAACCAATTTATCATTATTTTAATTCAATTCCTCTCAATCAATTAATTCATAAAACCAATTACTCAACTCCTCAAATCTTCAATTAAAAAAAATTAATCAATTCTAATAAAAGTGTGTTAAAAAAAATGATTAATTATACACTTATACATTTTTTGTGATTGAAAATTAATGCAGTAGAAGATTAATGGAATTTACGCAAGCTGAAAATTTAATATTTTCAACATTCGATACGCGATATTTTCAATATTATTGCAATGCCATATTTACAGTTTTTCCGTAATACCTACTCGAATTACGAATATGAAGAATAATTCTTTTCCCTCTTTCACAGTCTAGGTCCATTCTTCTGGGAGCGTTGGAACGAATGAAATTTTAATTCTTGATAAGCCTCTGGGCTGCGCTTTGTTCTCTCAACCTTCTTATCTCCTCTCTCCCTCATTTTTTATCCCCATTTTTTTTCTTCTCCACCTTCGTTTCTTCATCTGCCTCATGCCTTTTTTAATATCCCACCCTTTTCCTGTGCGAACAACCTCCGAGAGATACGACCTGGTGTCGCTCCACAGCGAAGTTTAATATCCTATGATAACATCCATGAGAGGCAAACGTGAAATTTGTGGAGTAAAAAGAGAGAGATGAGAGATATGTACATGTGATGTGTAAATAACAGGCGAAATACTGCATTCCCAGGCAGATGAGTGTATGTTTCCACCAACTGCTTTCGTAACGGGGGGCTTAATATTTTAGGAGTACTACAACAATTACCCCATGTCCATGAGAAATTATGAAAATTTCCAATTTTCCATGTACAGAAGATATGAAAAATTGTTGGCACAATAGATTTTAGTCGATGACCTCGGGGTACGTCCCATGGACCATTGAATTTTAAAATTAAAATTCACTTGCATTTTGGATTTTTTTTACTCACGTACGCAAACAATCCTTTGTTTACAAAAATGTCTGAATTATAAAGCCCTTCATATTTTTTTATTGAAAAAATCGATGGCGAGAAGAGAAAAGGTGCGATGAAAACAGGTTTCAATTGCTAAGAGAGGAAATGAAGTTTCAAGAGAAAAGGGAAGCATTAGGTTTTCATTTGACGTATGGATGTTATTTTTCGCATTGAAGTGCAGGTTTTAATTTCAGTTTTAATTTTGAATTTCATTCTACACCCCCGGAGTGGGCGACTGCATTCCAGAGAATTACTAATGAGTGGAGTAAAAACATGAGCAAATGAAACTGGGGTGCAATATCCAGAATTTTACAATTGCATTCCTCTGGTGGAGAATTATGAGAAAGTAATCCGAAAAAATGCAAATGCTTGGTATTTTTTTTTTTCTGTGGGAATCGGACGAGACAGTAAGCGACAGACAGACAATAAAGAGTGAAATATACAAGAAGTAATTCTGCGACTCCTTCAGTTAATTACAAAAAACTGGAGAATCATTAAAACCCATCCAACTCATTCCGTTTTTTTCCTATCAGCCATAATTTTTCAGTCTTTTATCCCTCATACTTTTTGTCCCTCTGATGCGAGAACGACGAGAAGTTTTTGCCTTTCTCCGTCGAATTATTTTCCGAGGACTATAAAAAAGAGAAAAAAAAAAAATAGATAAGTACTTTCAGTCCGAACTTGGGGAGTCTCCAGAGTTTCTATGGAGCCTCTTATCATCGGATTTTTGTCCCTCTGCATTCAGCTGTAAGTAACAATAAAGAGAAGATTATTTAGTGAAGTACTGAGTAATTACGGAAATACTCTCCATCTTCCTCATTTTATCTCACCATTTTGAGGTGAGACAACATTTTCTAAATGTCAATTATAGATAGCGACTAATAGATATTTGAATAAAAATTGAAGTGATTTTTTTTGAGATCCTCAAGATGTCAAGTACTTATAAACGATCTCTCTGTACCTATCAACCTGACAGTTAAAACATTACGACTTTTGAGGGTACAAATTCACAGTTGAAAGCTGTACAAACAAAGAAGAAAAAGAGGGATTGAAGCTCCAGTGGATCCGTGTCGTTTTTAAATAACTCGGAGAACAAGTACTCCCCTTTATTACCCCGGAAATTCGTTTGCCCTCGTTGACTATTTGGCACGAATCTCCACTTCTTGAATACAACATTTTTAATACCCACCGCCATTTCCTCTTCACATTCACCGTCATCTCTCATTCCTGATTCCATTCCTTAAGAAAGCCATTGTGCCATTTCTCCACTGGTGAACTATTTGGAACAAGTATTTCATTGTCACTGGCTGCTGGTGGGGTTGAAACGGCTCGAGCCGCAAAAACGTTCGATGAATTTCCAATTTTATTCAATCCCACCCCCTCGATCACTCGTTTCCGTAATTTCCGCTGCTGTTTTCTTCATCTACCTCTCGTCACAAATTACTTACCGATCACGGCTTCACCGGATGATTTATAGATATGAAAATTTTTACTTCATTCATTTTAATGAATTAGTTAAAATTATATTGATCCTTAATTTTGATATGCAAATAGTTGACCCACAATTTTCACCTACAATTATTTGACCCACAAATTTCACTTACAATTACTTGACCCTCAATTTTGACCTACAACTACTTGACCTAAAATTACTTGACTCCCAGTTTTGACCGACAATTATATTTAATCGGTTATAGACCCAATAAATGAGAAATTTCGGAATTGACGAATATAATAAAGTAAGACCGAAGGTGATGAGGGAGGAGAGTGAAGGGTGGGAGGTATTGTGGACAGCGATGGAGGGGGGCACTAGAGTTGGACGGGTCAGTAAGGGGTGGAAGGGGCTGGAGGGGTGTAAATGGAGGAAGGGATGAAGAAGGGGTGGCAGGTTTAATGTGCACATGCCTGAAAACAGGAGTGGGTGGTGGTGCGCGTACAGCAGTTGGTTGAGGTTGGGGGTAAAAGTGGTGGTGGCACTCTGTTATGGCCGATGGGGGGAGTTCTCTCTCTTCATCCCTTAACCAGCGCCATAACGCCCTCTTCGTGAACTAGAAAGCTGAGCACTCGGGTTTCTCTGTCTTATAACCTTATCCTAGGCTGCGTGCTCGTGGCAAGTCGCACGTTTTTCACGTCGCTCCTGCCATTTTTTCAAATAACCGGGTATTAATGATAATTAATCAAGCGATTTACCCGTAAATTAATAGTTTAGGTGTCTCATTGAATTATTTTATTTCCCATTGTCGATGATTTTTTTTGGTGATAATTATCCTTGACACTTGTTTTGTGTTGTAATTTTTTTCTTTTCCATTCTGTATTTTTTTGTTTTTTGAGGTGCGTTAAGAATTGGTGGCGCGTGAATTGTCAAGGCCACGCGTCAGTCCCGCCGGGAGGGGTTGAAGAGCGAGATAAAAAAAAAAGCGTCGAGAGGAATGAAATGAAAAAAAAGTAAAAACAAGAACTATTAACCCCTCGGTGTTTCACGCGGTACTGGGAGTTTTTGTGTTGTTGTGAATACAGAGTGTGCGGCAAACTGAAAATACTCGAGACCCTTTTGCTTTGACGTTTAGAAAATACAAACAAGCGAGAGTTAACTGGAGGAACAATCCCCGGAGATTCTTCATGGTGAGTTTTTTTTTTGAGCTACAATTTTCCATTGTCGTCGGTGCAATTGTCCCTTTTTTATTTGTAATTTTTACTTGTTTTTTTAATTTTCCGGTTGCTCTAGGGAAAATAAATTGCCCGTTTCAGTCTGTTTGAAATTTTCAATTACGCCACTTTGTTTCCACGGGGATTTATTTAATCCGACATGAAAATCCTTTTTGTCAGGTGTAATTCGGGAGAATGAAGTAATGATTTTCATTTGGGCGACATCGAGTGATCGGCCGCTTAGACATTCTTATTTGAAATATTCAGAGCAGTCGGGGATATGAATTATTGAGGTGTAGCTAATCAGCTGTCGTGATTCGAGAAATTCGAGGTCTCTCGACCCATTACGTGTCTTGTGAATTCTTCAGGGAAAATTTATAGACAAATCACTTTACAACCGAAGTCTCTCAATCAATGTAATTCTCATTCTATAAGAAACTTCCCATGAATTCTTTTCTGCGCGAGGGAAATTTTCAGAAATTCAGAAGCAAAGTGGCAAACTAGGATAAGTGGATTTCTTACGATACCGGTTTTTAGCGAAAATCTCGGAGTAGAAGGAGCATAGCGATTTTTTTGCAAATACCTTTTTTATAGAAGAAGATAAGAACTACAGAAAAGGTATCAACGAAATATCCCTATCTCCCTTTAATTTCGATAAATCTGCAAAAAACTAGTTTCAAAAATAATGCACGTCACCACTTCGCAACACAATGAGTTTGTAATATTCACACAATTGGGGAATGTTCGTAATTTTTTATTTTAAGTTGTTTTGTACGAGACCTTGCGGTAGTTATGCGCCAAGGGATGCCGAAGGTGGCAGTAAGGTTCAAGACCTGGAAGTAGGTGTGGGAGGATAGGGGTCCTGAAAACGTGACTTGGATGCAATATTTAAAAGCCAACTCTGCGTCAATACTGCTCTCGCGACATCCTCTCCCATATTCTTTCATCTCCATCGAATTTCGCTCCTCTCCCTCTTTTCCACCTTTTTTTTCAACCCCTTGTCCTCGGAAAATCGAGGGGCGGTGGAGGGGGTAAATGGCTTGAGGTATCGAGAGGGACGTCTGACCTTAACCCGAAACTGGCAACTCCTTCCCTCGACTCAATACATTTCAACCCCCTCCCTCTATCTTGGCTCACCCTCGGTTCACCCTCGGTTCTCCGATGTCCCAGTATATTCGGATACACTGGTAAGCTTTCGTCCTATCTTATTTGCTCGAATATCCGTGATATCGCGGCCGGTTCGTTTTATCAGGCCAACGATTTCGTTTACTCGATTCCAAGAGCACCCATAATGGAACTCAATATGTGCCTGAAATCGAGAAGGCATTACCCACGTCAGGGAGATACATGATCCTATTTTTGGGGGTGGCTTTTGCTTTTTTCGTCGTCAGGATGAAGATTTATTCGGTTTATTTTGCTCGGGGTTTTCCTAATCCTTTCGAAAACCGCTCCAAAAATTGAAATCCTCTATTTGCAGCTCCAGTGGAGAATAATTGCTGTTTTCCCTGAAAAAATTGTTCCTCATTATTTTATTACTTCGCACGGGCAAAAAAGTGAATATTCATTTTTGGGGTTGTGAAATTCTAGGAATTTTGGGAATTTTTTCGGGGTTTTGATGAGAATGCAAATTTAATTGAAATTATGAAATTGATTGTGTAGATTCCAATGAATTTTTGGAGAGAAGTAATATTTTTCTTTGTGTGGCGATAGATTTTTTTGTTTTTTTGCTGCACGGAAAGAAATATTCAATAAAATTTACGTGCCTGTTCCGTACTTACCTAACTACTCCGTAATTTTTATTGAATATTTCTCTCCGTGTACTGTAGGCGAAGTTTTGGCGGAAAATTTCTCTCGCCGTGAAATTGCCGAGAGAAAGCAGATGGGTTCTTATATTTCGCAAAACCGAGATGGGATTTTCTGTTATCCGCCACCGGGGATTTCGACTCCCATTCTCCCCCAACATTGCATCTCTTGTTATTTACACCGGTTACGATAAGAAATCACGCATAAATCTTTACTCAAATAAGGTTAAAACCGCCAGAATGAGGTTCTTGTTCACACCTGTAAATAATGTGTGAATCTACCCCGTAATTCCCTTAAATCATCAAAAAGTTTCGACACAATTATCCTTCCTTTCTTTTTCCTCCCAAAATCAATGAATTCCCTCAAAAATGACAACAAAGAAAAATGAGTTACAACAGCCATAATGAAATTACCTCAAAATAATTAATATTCACTTAAAACCTCCCCCTAAAACCCAATTACCCAGCATTGATGTGCAGTAATGACTCGATTAATCGTCTACTGTTCCGCGAAATCAACGCGATACGTCAATCAATTTAATACAGTAATCGAAGGCACTGATACTTTGTCATTAATTATTTCCGGATGGTTATGAGCCAACAGAGAAAGAAAAAAATTGCGTAACGAGGGAATGGTGGTCTGTACAGGGATGGAGAAATGGATCAGTCCGTCGAATTTATAAACGATCGTTTTCGTACCAATTTCATTTCACGAGCCGTCGCACAGCTACTCGTTTCCGACATTTCCCGTTGCTTCTCGTGATACTGTATGTATACCCCACCCCCAGGGGGTGAACTTCCATCACTTTTTTTTTTCATCCCTCTCATTCCCCCGGCAACTTCCGCAATGCCATCGTGTGGCTCTCACAATCACGCGCATATGCTTCACTCCCATTTCATCCCCTTCCATCCCTCCTCCACTCCCTTAACCCCCTTTCCATCACCCCCCAGCCACCCCCCATAATTGTCACTTCCTGAATTTTCTCGCTATTACACCTAAAGGCACATTGAAAAATCGCCGTGAGTACCGAGTGAAAAATGTTACGTGAGAGATTGAAAAGATTCTCATCGGAAAATAAAAATGTACGCCAATTTTTTGAGGGGTTGATTTTTTGGATATAATATGAGGTTTCAGAAGGGATAATTTATTATCTATGTATTATGTAGATGTAAATAGAGGTTGAATTTATCGTAACTGCGAATATACACGCAGCCCCAATCAGCGGATGTTACGGGAATGAAATGAAACGTATGGCGCAGGGTGAGACATGGGGGTTGAAGGGAGATGTTAGAGGGAATGGGATTTTGGGGGTGTGAGGGGGTGTGAAGGGGGGTGGGAGCGAGATACGTCCAGAGGTGTACGATTTATGGGGGGTTCTGGTGGATCTCTCGCCTTCTCGGAATTTGCAGAAATTTAGGGGCAGACGGAGAACCACCAGCCAAAGTGGCCTCTATGTGTCTGTGTAATGTGTTCACTAACGCGCTTTTCCTGCAACTCAAGTAAAAGTGGGTAAAGTACAATGAGGGTTAGCCCACTGGGACTAGTGGGTAAAATGTTAGCACCCAGTGACACTGTGGAAATGTCACAGCGTTAGCCCCCTTTTCTCCAGCGCATTCTCTTACAGAAATTTCAAATATTAAGAATTTCTCTCTCCACAAAATTCCCCATTTTTCAACTATTAATATTATTTATTTATCAATACGTATTATACGTGTATATTATCAATATATTATTAATATATTATTAATGTTATTTATATGGTTGATACATTAATTCCAATATAAAAAGAAAAAACGAAATCGATCTCGAAATATCTCAGGATCTATCTAAATTCGAAAAAAATCTGGGATGATCTTAAATATTTGGAATGAAAGGGCGTGTGGAGTATATCGTACAAAAAAATGTATATTAGATAAATTTGAAGTGTTCGATCAATCGGGCCATCACGAGACGATAAAGATTTCTTGCATCTCGTTTGACAAGAGCGCGCATTGCGGCTCGTTTCCCCGGAATCGTTGGGTACCAGAATTCCACTTTATATTGCAATTCCGGTTATGTCCGACTGAGCGTACTAACTGTCAAAGTGCTTTATCGTTGTACGATGTTTCAGCGTATAAACAGTGTAAACTGCCAATTGACAGTCTGGTTATTCCCCCGGGGCCTCCCCTCCGCCAGCAAATACTCCATCAAAGCTCCAGTCCTCTGGATGTGTTGACAGATAAATATTCGGGGTCCATTAGCTAGGAAAAGAGCGAAATCAGGGGCTATTATCACCACCTGGGCCAATAAACTCTTGTAGACTTTTCTTGTGGGTGAATTTTTCTCAATGGGGATTACACTCGAGCCATTATTTATCGGGCAATTCTTGTGGTCTCTACCGGCAGAATGCCATATTGCGTTCCGCATTGTGACGCTATTCTCGGGGTTGAAGGGGGTGGAAAAAGGGTCATCACCGGGGTACTGGGACCATTGGTAACGAGCACCCGCTTTTCTGGACAGTAGAAACGGATTTTCTACTTACCATGTTACACTGCCCTACGCCTCACGCTAAAGCTCCGGCAATTTATGACGTGAATTAACGTAAGACTTAAATGAAAGTTTGAATGGAACGAGAGGATTTTCTACTGGGGACAATAAGGCGGGAATTAATGTTTTTTATGTGGACTTGGGCGTTGAATTTATTGGAATGACTGTTTTTTAGGAGATTTTGTTATAATGGACTGTTAATGATTCAATTTCAATTATAATCTGTCCCAAAATTTTTCATTTATCTTAAAAATTTAAGACTCCGTTTTTTTTTAATCGATGATTTTAAATGATTATTGATTTTTCAATTAATTGATCTTCACTAGCATATTCAAGAAATTTCATTTCTGGATGTGTCGATGAAAAATTATTAAAAATTTCTGGAGTATTTTTCGGACAATGTAGAGCTACTTTGAAATGCGGACGTATTAAATTTCATATTTCCGATTAAAACCAATCAAAAACCTGGAGTAAATAAAAAAAATTCAATTCAAGGGAGAAATATCTCGAAGAAAACGATATCCCAACTCGCAGTGACATGGATAAATCTACGAAATAAGGAAGAAAAGACAGCTATTGCTTACCGTATAACAAAAGCCCCGATGTCTCTTTGCTTCTCGCCACCTGTCGACGGTCGATACTGTACCAGGGAATATCCGGCTTCATGTCCTCCAGATATATAGAAAATGCGCCCCGGGTGTACATGACATCACAAAAAAAAACATATCTGTATGTACATACCAGGATGTACATAGGGAGGGCTCCAAGCAGAGAGAAGTAGGTCGGATACATCACGCGCCATCGCCTACCTCGGCGATGAAATGAAAAAGAAAAATTCTTGGGATGAACTCTGCGCGAAAAATATGTAACTTCTTTTTTTTGTCATTTTCCCCGTCGAAAACGCGGAAAATGACGGGATTGTCGATTGTAGACGGTATGAAATCGCTGCACGCCTCAGAGATGTGAGTGCACGCATCGAAAAGAAATTTCTAAACAATAGAAATTCTATTCATCCCAATCAGTCATTTTGGAGTTCCTAAAAAATTATTCACTTGCGTTATTGTTGAATACACGGAGCAAAATATTTAGTAAAAAATACGGAACTTTCAGTTCACTTACCGATTACGGAATCAACTCGAAAAATTGAATGGTATCGTCATTTTTCAAGGACAATTCAGATAAGAATTACGGAACACCACAGAAAAATTCCGTGATTTCGCTCTGGAAGTGCGGAAAAAATAGGTAATTTTTATTGAATATTTCTCTCCGTGTATGAATTTATTTAATTTATTTATTTAATCCATTTATTAAATCATGCTCCTTATATTAAAAGAGCAATGAATTATTTATTTACTTCAATTTTGATCAGTCGATTTTACTTCAATGCGCGATGCCCAATGGTTGATTAGTCTTGTTTAATTACACAAGATACTATTTCGGCTATTACTATGCAAATATGTTACTTTACAATGATGATGTCGTTCTTTTGTCAATAAATAATTGAAGCAAGCAGAATGACATGATTGTTAACAGTTCCGTAAAAATTCGTGAACATCCAATAATTTTCCTGTGCTGAGGCATAATAAGTCTTAAAGTTTCGTCCGATTGTAAAACATCTAGGAAAATTACATGACTTTTTCCTATTTTTTCGGTGACAGAACTCGAAAAATTACTGAAAGTTCCAGATTTATTCCCCGAAAGCGATTCTCACTGATGCATTACCTAAAATGTTCCATAATTTTTCTTGAATATTTCTCTCCGTGTAGTCATTGGAATAAAATATCAAAAAATAACAAAGTCTCATATTTAATTACCAATAAATTATTGCTGGGATCTATTCCATCGAGCCTAGAACAACTAATTCCAATTATATAAGAAAAATGGTAAATGTCTAGTTCAGGCCCACCAAACCATTCTGGATGTTTTATATTTGATTGGATGGGTTTCCGTCACTTAATTAAGGATCTGGTCACCTCTTTATCCGGAAACAATTAGTATAAGAGATATGAGATTTAATATCCGGTCTCTGCGTTATCGAGAGCCACGGCGAGGACGTGGCGGTGTGTCGGCTCAAAGATACCATATGTTGGCACATTTATAGACAATGGACACTCAGAACGATGGATTTCATCAAATAGTCCTGAATACTTCACTAAAACTCTGAATTAAACTCTCCCGGCCATCTACCATCGCTGACTGAACACAACGAGTGACTAATCCGCCCCTACCTTTCTATAGCAATTCAAAATATTGAATTTAATATCACTCACTCGTCGCGTCAACAGCGGCAGCAGAGGGAAGGAGTGGTTTAAGGAATTTCAGGGACAACAGAGTTTACCTCAGGATTATTTTTCGATGTATTTATCTCCTCGTTGTTTCTCACTCTCTTCTTTCGTCTCAGAGAGATTAATATTTCGATGATTTTTGTTTTTGGTGGACCTAAACCATACATTTACCAGAAAAAATTCTGAAGCGGTGTATTTTTAATTTTAGAGCAGGTGCATGCAATTGGTTGAAACATATTTACCGAAGGGTTAGAATAGCCTTTGCAGATAGCAGCACGATGACAATAAAGTTGTGTGACAATATGGAGACAGTATGATGAGTAGGATAGCGCAGTCTAGCTGGTACTCCATCGACCATTGGGGAAAAGCTAGAAATCACCTATTATTAGGAGTGACCTAGATTACAAGGCCCATTGTTTTGGTGGTGGGTGCGGCTCTGTTGAATATCCGTCCACGTCCATATGGTATTCTCACCAGTTTTGCCCTCAATAGGACTTCAGTGAATACGGTGTCATCGACCCCCTGGTGATAATGGAACCTTCGTGGAAGCTTCACTGCAGTCGCTTGGTTTCATAATTTCGTTATCGACACCCTTCATTTGTGGAGTTTATTCCATTTTCATTGGATTAACAGTGAGGGATTCGATATTTTGAAGTTCTTCGACAGACTCTGGGCTCAAACCTTTCAGTTCTTCATTCTATAGATCAATTTTATAAAAATCCTCGATTATCTTCATCGTCAACTGAAGTTAATCAGAATTCATGTTGTAATGGGAGTTCTTTGGCATTTTCCCGGGGAAGTTCTTCAATTATTTCTTGAAGTATATCTGAACTCGGCTCATACATTATGGGTGACATTTTCAGTTCCTGAAGTTTCACTCGCAACATCGGTTTTGCGTTATTGATTACCTATCGCTAAGTTTATGTGACTCGAGAAGTTTTCTTGTTATTAGGGTGCATAAAGATTTACTCTGGCAACGGAGAAAGATGACTAATTCCTTAGAACTAAAAGTTCTTCCACTTTGCCCATTCGTGCGGCTGTGAATTTGGAATTCTCCACGAAATTGAGTACATGGAGCACGTCGCTCTTTTTTCAATGCCCCTGCAGCTCAATCAATTCAAAAACAATGGCGTAGTGAAAAAACAGCCTCCATGAATCCCAGACTAAACGATTTGCCCCCCTCTCATCAATCTGATTGATCCTGTACTTTTTTCCTCTGGACGGAAAAAAGCCCTAGAGTCCTGAAGGGTCGAGGGCCCCCATATGGTCCCCGTGAACCTGTTGATCTGATTCTCCATTTGCCGATAAAAAAACGAGAAGAGGAAACAAGTATAGATTTAGGACAGGATGACGCAGAGGTGTAGCTGTTCGAATGTCGGTTGTACGTGAAGTTATCCCGAAGGGGACTGAAAATATAACTCTCTCCGGAAGGTGGAATTATGCTGGCTCTGGAAAAGCGATAAAATAAATCATGCCACACTGTGGGCCCCAGTGCTCGTGGACACGCCAATATCATTCTCCTCCAACTTGCCTTTCTTCTTTCAGTACTTTTCTTTTTCATTATACTACACATTTCACTCGTGTATGGTAGCCAGAAACGCGTAGAGGAAAACGAAACTTCCCCCGGGAAATCAGAGAAAGATGCACAGGCCACTGGCATCTACCCATAAACTTGAATATATGCATTCTACTTCTCTATATTTCATGATATATTTCTCGCTTTCTGTTTGCTTTTGATATTGAGATTCGATTCTTAATGTCTATTTAATGATACGTTTGTAGGAGCCGTGAGGTCACGAGGGACGGAAATTCGGGGGAGTTCTTGTCTGATAAAAGTCAGCAGTCCATTAATCATCTTCCGCTTTCTTTTATGAATGAGACATTAATGCTTTTTTTATGAAAAAATGACGCTTTTTTCAGTTCCTTTTTAGGGTTTTTCTGGAATTTATGTGTACATACATAACTTTTTAAGATATTTTTCATGAATTTTCACAGAATAATTGATTTCGAATTTGAAATTTTATAATTTGATTAGTTTAAAACTCATTTCCAAATTTTCTTTAGAGACAGAATGAAGATTTCTCTACCCAGTATTTTTATTTCGCCCCAAAATGAACGAATGATTATGTAACCATTTTGGTTACCCAGTAGTAGGTTCATATTGGTGGGGTGTACCAGATGGTTACATAATTGCGGTCGTTGGAAATTGCGGGTTAAGTAGACCACGAAACGAGGGGGAACATGGGAATTTATATTAATTCGATTTTTTCGAGAGCAAGAAGTCGTTGATAAAATCAATTAACCTCAAAACCCCTCAACAGAGTGATTAATTAAATGTGTAATAACACTTCATGTCCTTCTGTGCAGGTGTTTTCCGAATGATAAACCGAGCGAGGCTGAGGGCGTCTCGCGCAACAACTCCGGTAAGTAATTTAAATCAACTTAATCCGCTTCAATTACACACCCGAGGAGACGACGTAATGACCAAATCCAACTGGGGACTGAGTTTCATTGATTGTCTCGATGCCTTCACTCATTCCCTATTTCAGGAGGCGAGTAGTAAAATGAGATAATTTTACAATCGTCAAAAAAAAAGACAAAAATGAAGACAACATCGTAAAATGAAGGCGGGTAACGCGCGTCGTGTTCGAATTTCCCGCGCTGTTTTCGAGATATTTCGATTGTGGCGAACTTCATTTGTGTTTTGACCCATCGAAATGGAGCGCCGTACGAAATCCGTCGTTTATCGTGTGAATATTTAATAGAGTTGGTACCTGATGAAGCGAGCAATCTCGTTTCCATTTCGGCTGATCGATTTTCACCGTCGATGAGACGACCGAGGGTTGTTGGATAGCTCAAACCAGTGCAGGAGGTTGGCAGCACCAACTTCTGGGGTAATTAAGTCAAACCGTCTGGTTGACGGGCCTCCATTGTAACCGGCAAATGGCCTGTTTAGTCTGGATACACGTATCCACCCTTCCATCTCCACCTGTTTCAACCTTCCCATCTCCACCCCACAGCCACCCCCTTTGTGATCATGCACAGATCCACTTGCCAATCGATCATTCGACCTCTTACCCATCCAGTCCTTCTACAGCGTATATATCTTTCGTCGATGCTATCGCTTCTATTTTAATTGCATGTGGTCTTCAATGATTTAGAGAATCGATGTAACACAGAGAGAACAATTGAGTTAATGCCAGTGGAGCTGAGGGTTAATGAATCGTGCAGTTGGATATGAACGGGTGAATAGCTGGACATCAACAAATTATTCAGCCGTCCTGGTTGAAAGTTTACCCTCACATTTGATGTAACGTATTATCGTCATTTCGATTTCGAGTTGTATCCAAAAGTTGAATGACAACGGAAATTTCGGGGCAATGCATTAGTGAATTTGGCACATCACAGAGGTCGATGCTTCTGTTTTCGGATTCACTCGTTTAACTCGTCCAGGCAATATCCAGTTCCTATCGTAATTCGAATAATTGGCTATAAATTCCGGTACCAAATCAATTCATTCCTAACAACTGTATTTCAGTGCAAGCAATTTGGAAATAACTTCGAAGTATTGCACGGGAAAAGAGTTCCACCGATAATAACGAGCCTCTTCAACTGGTAACGAACGATGTAGTAGAATAAGAGCTTTTGACGGATGGGTTCATTTGCTAGATTGAGAGGTAGGGAAAAGAGCATTTGTACATGGATGACGAATCGTTTCTCATTGTTAATGAATGTGAGTTGAGGAGAGAGTATGTGGTCGTCATCATCGAAGATTTTTTCAGGATTTTTCATTCAGGAGAGAAAGACTGATGGAATTGGACCCAATAGGATTTCATTTGGTCATGCATCTATCGACGATCGGATCGATCGAAGAAATCAAACAAAGTGCTACACCATCTTTTCCACCCAGGGAACTAAAAAAATCCTCCAGGGACAGGTCTGGATGATCTTTCTTCACTCCCTTCCCACCGAGTGCCGATTCCTTCAATAATCAGACAGTAGAATATTTGTCAGCGTGGCCCAAGGAACTTGTGACTGGGCGATCTACCTCTGGTGTCAAGACATGTTCAACCCTGGAAGAAGCACGAGTGGCTATCCTGGAGGCGTAGGTTGTACAGATCTTCTTGACCCCCATGGGACTAACCCTCGACTCTGGTCACATGTGATTGAGAGTCCGTTGCACAACAAACCTCCTTCACTCTCCTCGGATCCCTTTTGATACGGGTTAAATTAACCTCCCGGACTTTTCCCACAGATATATACTTTTACCACTGGCCCTTGTCCCCCCAGGGATTTCCAAAGTTGGACATTTCTTTGTCTCCACCAATGGATTCAATTTCGCAATTCGACTTATCAAAATTGATGACATCTCCTTCCATCCGCTGATTCGATTTATGTTTGGACGAATCCCGGCGGAAATCCTAACGCGTTAACTCCCAAATCCATCTCTTTAATAGATTTTACTCCGGACTGAAAGCTCGGTTTTTTCTAATAATCCAATCTGATAATCATCATTCGGTGTTCTTTTACCCAATATAAATTCCCAATAGCTTTTTTCGTATAATCAATAATGGAGTGAAATCTGGTGTTGCATCAACGCACCGATAAAAATCCCGGCTTAATGGACAACGGGATGAGTATCGAAGTGCTGACTAGGCGGACATTATCCCCAAATGGAATCTCGACAGCCATCAGTATTTTCATTTCCGTGCGAATATTTTCGATAGCCGGTAAACCACAATTCAGAAATAGTGGCATTGATTGCTTTACTTGTCAAATGAATTGCCAACTACATGGATTCATTACCCCGAGTCCCAATTGCATCATCAATTCTATTTCCATAATCCAAAAGTTGATTCCTATTGCCAAAATTTCGATTAATCCCAGAATGATTGGATGCAGACGGTTGGAACGCCATGAGTTGCAGAGGATTTGAAAAAAATGAAAGAGTCTCGTCTGGCAGTTGCTCCGAATGCTCCCTGGGCTATGAAATAAAAAAGAATAGAACAGTGTGGTGATGTTGGCATACGCGAGAAGGAAAGTGCAGTTGGTGTCTGTGTAGTGTGGGTCACCATCTACTCTCGTATCCATTGTCACGCATTTTACACTCACCCCAGGGGTCACCGTCTGTTCTTGTTGAAACACCCAAGGTATCACTATCTCCATCCTTTTTTTTTATTTTGCCAGCTTTTCCCCTCCGCTTTGTTCCTCAAGATACGTCACTCCCTCTCTTTTCATTCTTCAGCACGGTAGACTTCCTCTTACACGTACTTTTTTTGATCTTTCGAAAGGCACTGGAATGGCTCAGCCCGGAAAAGAGCTTTAAGGTCTGCTCCACTTCTCGTTCTTTTCATCATGCCAGAGCTTGTATCGTCTTGGTTGCAGATCAAAGATGAGGCTCGTTAGAGAGCATAAGTTCCATTCAGCTTTCAGATAATAAACGAGGAGAAAGCACTAGCGGACCAAATTATCGAGGGCTTACCCTACAAAGTTATTATTCACCCTCAAAATATTAAAATTATCGGATATCTGCATTCTGAAGCCAAGTGAATAATAGCTGAACATCAAAGAAAGTTGTAGCATGGAAATAACTGCTTCGTTCATTCTTTGGTGAAAACCACGTAGCCAAAAGGTGATTGTTCATCATGATTCTGATGAAAAGGATCTTTGGACCCTCTGGAAAATGATTATGAGTTGATTCCCCGATTGTGTGTTAGCAGTTGAATTTAATGACTTCCTTATTTGGGAAAGGATTGGACAAATTTAGGACAAATTCAGGACAAACTGTCAACATGACGTGGGTTGATGATGCTGATGTCTCAGGTCGTTATGTAGCCAGATGAACTAACCTTGGATATACATTTGAGAACGAGCACTCGTGCAAATTAAACCCCAGTGCTCGTACAAAGCTCTTTCTGGACTTCTCTGGAGCGTGACGAAGTGGTCTGGCCTCTCATTTCCGTGTCATACTCCTCATCCTCCCCTCAAAACCCATCCGAATTTTCTTCCACTTGAATTTTTTTTTCCCCTATACTTCTGCACCTCTTCACAGTTTCCTTCTCACTTTTGTACCCCCTAAGCTCTTTCCCGCATGCAACTCTTGGTAACTTGCTCACTCACCAACTATTTGGTTGCACACAATGCTCAAGGGTTTATGCTGTTACCACTTCACCCATAGTTTACGCAAAAAGAAAGAAGGAAAAAGAAATATCATCACCAGGAAAAACTGGCAACTGTTTGGTACACAGAGTATGCGTCGTGTTTTATTTGCGCGTTATGCACTTTGTAGGAACTCTTCTGGTAGCTTTTCAAGAGGCCGTCGAGTTACTTCAATTACTGTTGCTGTCATCGACTGCTGAGTAACTAGTCTCGAGTATTTCGGTGGTATTAAATCTGCAATTGTAATTATTCATCGGAAAGTATTTCCACAAAGCGGTTTGCTGCTATCAGTCAATCCTTATCATCCGTGAATATCTGATTACCTGTTTGCAGTGGTTTTTTCTCATGCAAGTGAGTTTACTGTTAAATATTTCATGGAACACTTTTTTTCGTCGACCTTTTCCGCTGTTTGAATTCCCCGTGCGTCGATCCAATCGATATACATTGGAGGATTGTTAGATATATATCGATACATTGGCTCATTCTTCATTTTTATTTACTCCTACGTCGGAGGATTGGCCTTTGATGCAACATCCTTTGGTGTATATTATGTACTGGTGAATTGAGCCGAAACGACGGTACAGTCTTATCGTAATTGCATCGTAATTGTCGGAACATAAAGCCGTGCTTGGTGCAATGTACGGGCAGGGGCGATTTTGCTGGCTGTTCACGTGCTGTTGAGAGTGTTGGGACGGTCCTGGTGTGGGTGGTAAAAGACTCTAGGTCGGCGCCAGGTTGGCTGCAGTCTCGGCGATCAATCAACCTGATGTTGTTGTGGTTTATGCCCCTGGCTTCACCTTTCTCCCCTTTTTTTTACTGTTATGTACGGCGGGAATTTTATGGAGTACCTTCGGATCAATTTTTGATACTCATAAGCACTTCGTATTAGGACAATTAAAATTACATTTTTCACCCAAAATTTGAGAGATTTATGAATAATTATTTGTAATTTAGCCGTAATAATTATTCAGCTGAATTTGAGGGCATTCGAGGGAGATCTAATTTTTTTTAATCATTTTACCCATCTTCAATAGAATTATCGGAATAAATTTTTTTTTATGTTTATTTTACATCGTTTTGAGTCGGATGATACTATGTGGCGATTGATCAGGACTTTTTAAAGCTAGTTAGATCTCACCTTTCTATCCGGTCAGGAATCGAACCTGGAACCTATCGGTTGTGAGGTCACGACCTTAACCACTACACCAGGCCACCGGCATTGGAATAAATGGAAACGAGCGATTTTATTCCACAAATAATAAAATAATCTGATGAATAAAGTTTGATTATTATAATTATTCAGGTGAATTCGAGGGAGATAATTTTTTTTATCAGTTTACTCAGGCTCAAAAAAATAGCAAAGAAAAATGATTGACGGACGATTGTATCTGAAACATTAGTATTTATTCGGGAACTGAAAGAATTGTGGGTTCGGTTTAAAATAAATAATAACTAATTGAATATTTATAGGAGTGATTTAGTATCTAAACTGCAATTAATTGCAAATAGGATCACGAGTAATGATCACTCCTTTCGGTAGAGTTATTCTAAGGGTTCCTGGCAGAATGGTTCACGACTTTGGGTACATGTTAAATGCAATATCTAGTCGGTTGGGATCTATCCTTTGAACCCGACCAACATCGCCAGCTGGATATTTACCCAGACGGAAATACGAAGGGATGAAAGACCGAGAGAAAAAAAAAGTGATCTCCCCGATTTATAGACTAGGTGGATTCTGGGTTATGACTCTGTTCAATTCATCTGGAGAGTTTCCCCGAGAATAGAATGTAGAAGTAAAATGAAATTGTATTATTTGGGAGCCGGAGTAACGGGATAGGCGATGGATATCAGCAAAAATTCATCTCCACTTTCCTACCCTTTTTCTAATATTTAGTTTGCAGAGGAGAAAAGTGCGGATGGAAAAAATGCCTCCCGTGATATCAAAAAAAGAACTCCCATTGCCTGTCGGTACAGTTTCACTGAATAATTCACGAGTTGGAGAATATTACGGGAGGAATTTTAAAAGTTCACGGTATTTGGAATTGTCTTTAGAGTTCTTTACAAATATACTCACTTGTTAAATCAGAATGGATTTTCCGGAGAGGGAGTTGTACTTTAGTGGCAATTTGGTTGTTCGGAAGTTAAAAAACCGTAAATCCCCCAAATTGACTCCTTGATAGGTAATCTCTGGGGTTTTTTGTTGCGTGTCATGTGCCGTTTGGGGTTCGTCACGAAGTATGTGGGAGGGAATTGGACTTTCCTCGATATTTATCTCATTTCGAACCGTTAGAAGAATGAATGCAAATGACGTTTTTTTCCCGGTTACTTGTACGACTGTCCCGAGAGATATCAAAGTCATTTTTCAAAAACTGATAATCTAAAAAGTCTCAACGTAATTATCACGTGAATTCATCATTTTATTTCAGACGTCTGATGCACCCTTTTGAAAATGGCGACATCCCCTAATCCAAAACACCGTATTGAGAACACTTGGTATCGGTGCATAAAAATTAATAGTTATCCCATAGCTGTTTTGGCTCATATTATTATTTTATAATTTTTCTTCCAACAGCATTAGGATCAAGAGAACAGTTTCTATAAACAGAAATAGGGAGAAATGAATGAACAAGAGCCTTTTATAAAATGGGTCCAGAGCGTGAAAACTTTGGCTGCTATGAGTCAATAGAGTTGGAAAGGTCGTCGGAGAAAGCTATGCCTTTTGAGTGCATTTAATAAAAGTTAACGTCTAACCCTAATTAGTTTTATTATTTACTAATTCCTGTCCATAATCCAATACACTCTATTCGCGGAATCAATGAAACCGATTATTTAATTATCATCTACAAATAAATAGAATGAATAACTGTACAATTTACAAATTTAATCTAATTACCCAATCCTCTTCGAGATATCCACCATTTTAGTTTGTCCACCATTTTCTTCAACGCGTGCATAAACGAAATCTAGTCATCACCCGAAATATGGAGGAGCAAAAAAAGCCAACGAAATGTGAGAATTATTTTGGCCATTGGTATCGACATGTTGGCATTTAAATTTAATGACTTCATGACTTGGAAATGTAGTTGAGTGTGGGTGGCGTCAGGTATGCTGATTCCTCTCCATAAAATCTGCATTGTGTAGTCTCAGTTGAATGTTTTCCTCGTGCGAATAAACAGTCCGGATCGTGTTACGACCTCACCATCGACCCAACACTCAGAATTTCCTCAACCTTGCGCTCGTGCTGCACCCGGGGGTTACAGAAATATTCCAACCTTATCGTGACAAAAACGGAATAGTTACGGCCCTGTTGCATTTGACAATGTAAGTACCTCCGCACCCACGAGGTTCCCGAGGTAGATGTCAGTAACCACTGGCCGGTTCCGAAGGCAAGTTATTCCTCTCCGAAAACAAATATCCTCTTAAAATTCCCATGCATTACTATTATTATTGTTGTTATCATTATTATGTGATAATATATTATAATAATCCAATAAGATAATATTAATAATAATATATACATTTTTTGTTTAAGTAAATAAACTTTTACTTCTTTAAAAAGCAGGAGTTTATTTAATTAAATAGGACATTAATCAATTGTTGAATAACATCAGTATATACAGTGCAATTACGGAATATAGTTATAATATGTTATGAATTATTGTTATTATTATGTATTGTTAGTGATATTATATTATCGCGCATATGATATCTTGCAACTTTTTTATGTGAGACGCGAAGGCGTCTCCAGGTTTTGAGTGGATTAATTTAGTTTTGTTAACAATAAAATCGCGCCAATTAATGAGTTTTTAGATAAATTAAGGAGCCATTTTATTTAGCAGTGTGCGGAGGGAAAAAAACCTTTGGATTTGATTGGAATAGTGTGGAGCGCCTGGTACTCCGTGCAACCGACATGAAAAAAATAATTCCATCATGCGTTATCGTCACGCCCCGTGTGGTGATACGAAACGTCAACTTTCGGTGGGTTTTTCATGGCATGCCACTGTTTTCCAAGTTTTCTGGCAAACATTATCGCCCAGGCAACCCGGGGGCAACGCGAAAAGTTTATAATATGTGGAAAGTTGCGGTTCTCTGTCATTATATTCGACAAAAAAATCCGGCAGTTGAGAAAATTGTGAAGATTCGGACAATTATTTCATTAAATTTTCAATCCATAAAAAATTTCATAGAATTTGATGATCGATTTTCATAATTAGTACAAAAACTGAAAATTTCATTGAAAAGTCAATTTTTGTTGGGGCTTTCAAGATGAATGAAAAATCTAGTGAACGGGAAGGATGTAAAAAAATTTCCATTAATGCGGAAAATTATGGGAAAAATGAATGAAAAGTTTAACAGTGTGGAGAATTGCGGGAAAAATGAGGAAAAATGTCCGAGTGGAAAATAGAAGGGGATATTTAGAGAAAAATTGAATTTATGTTGCAGATAACCAGCAGCTGATTGGTGCGGTAACAGAGCCATTGGTTAAAGTTGATAGAGAGTCTCTGTGATACCTATGTTGTGCGGTGAACTTTTGAACGGTGGTTTTGTGAGTGCGGGTGCGGTACCCGCGGTACCCTGTGGTCTCCTTGGCCTCTGGATACCTGGTTGTGTACGTGCAACAAGCCCCCGTTTAATTACATCCCCCTATTTACCCCTGCTAGCTGAACTACTCGCCGCTGGCTACCTGGAGCAACGGCATCTCCACTCCGAGTCCAACACCGAGGACATGGACCTCGTAACGCGCAATCAGCACTCAAATACCAATGGGCAATCGGACCTCGATCTTGACCTCGACAACGACGAGAGCGCCTTCCTCGGTGAGTACCTCGTCTCCTAGAATTTCACCTAAAAATCGCACATTTTTCTCTTCCAAACCGAACCATTAAATCATAATCACCAATACTGAGAAAAATTTAGTGAATTGAAAAAAAACCTGCCTAACTAACAAATGAAATTATATTTTATAGTTTTCACTACGCATTTGTTAAAAACTAGAAAATTGGCGTGAATCTATAAAAATGATCAATTAATCAATTATTTACTTACTGCAGAAACATTCTTGATTGTTTCAAATTCAATTTAATAAAAACAATTAGTTTTAATCGCAAATAGATAGGATTGCTCAACTACTAAATTTTAGTCTCGGTAATAAAATCACGTGAATCTCCAGCAAAAGTTAAGGTAAGCTCTGCAATTTTTAATCGATAGCACTAGATGAACAATATGGATAGATGAACTTTGAGGTGGAAATGGGAGAGGCACTTACCTGGGGCCCTGGTGGTACGTCAAAGTCGTCATCGGGTGTAAATTTATTCGACGGATGAGAAAGAGTAGACAGGAAGTAGTGGGAAGATGGCAGCGGAGGTTTGTCAAAAGTTGGAAAAGAATTCTGGGGATGAAACGAGCGACGAATTTTCAGTGGCGTACTTGGCACGACTAGCCAAGTGGCTGCAAGTCGAACGTGCAAGTACTACCGTACTCGGGGGTGAAAAGTTGGTGAAATTAAATCGACCTACCTTTCTCTCTTGCCTCTGACCTCGATTTTACCATTTTCCCTTTAGTCCGGGGTTTTAGCCGGTAAAAGGACCGACTCTTTCCCCGGCTTTTACGTCGTCTCGTGATTTTAGGAGATATCGATCTGGCGACGTATTCGATGGGTCGAGCACTCGGTTACATTTAGGTCTCGTTGCGGAGAAAAAAAATCTCTCCCCCGGATTTCCGAGATTGTAGAAAATTTTTGCGTGCAACAAATCCCCTTTTCTGACTTTATTTCATTGATTTATTCTTTCCTCAAACTTTTTTTATTCAATATTTCATCAACAATTTCGCAGAAATTGAAACAAATTCACCATTTGACGATAATAATTCAGCAAAATGATAAACTAGGACAAGTGAATTTTTTTCACGGTCAGTTTTTAGCGAATATCTCGTAATGGAAGGAAAACAATAATATTTTCATAGATACTCTTTTTGTAGCTCTCATATTTCTCTATAAAAATGTTTCTACAAAAAATTGGCTATGCTCTTCCAATTTCGAGATACAGGCTAAAAACGGTCGCGAAAAAAAATGCAGTTATCCTAGTTCACCATTTCGCAAGAAGAACGCAGAATTTTCATTGTTTAATTCCCTTGATGGAAAATATGAGATTTCGGGTGAATGGCATTTGCAGATCGTTAGATATTCCATTCCCCCGGAATTACTTGAGAAAAAGTCTAGGAGAGACTTCGAATCTATAGAAATTCGAAGGCAAATGGTTCGATTTTGTGAGAGAAGTGAAAGATAATGGACATCTCAACGAGGACAGACTCGATTTTCGATGCTCTACATAAAGCTGATGGGGTGCTTCCTTTCAACATCATCTCAATTCAATATCGATATCAGAGTATTTTCTCTTCTATTGAGACTATCACGAATTCGAATTACAAGTTCATGGTCAATTTTTCATTACTCCATAAATTCCGTAGCCGCACATTCGAAGAATTACACGATGAAATAAAAAACTTTGCGAATACTTGCGTGAGTACTTGATAATACTGTTCATCAGTTTCGCCATTGATATTAACAATAACTTTGTGATAGATTCATGTTATCCATCATCGATACAAAATTGCGATGTCTCTTTTACGAGATTTCCGAAACTATTTCATTCGGCGCGTAATAAAATGTACCCCATTCTGTACTTGCTAAAATTCTCATGTTCCCCTGAAAGTCCTCTTAACTGAGTTATTACTTAGGGATTCGCAAGTACTTAAAACTGTAACAACCACTTCGATCAAAAAGTCCATAAAATAACTCGGATTACACTTTCAGGCAACGAATTTTCTCCTCGCATGACAAATTTAAATTTCAAGTTTTGTTTACCTTACATTTTTCGTTTCATTTCTTCGTTTTTTATTTGATAAACTTTGGGAGGTGGGAGTCGTTATTTTTCCGGTGAATTAATCGGTGCACTAATACTTAAGGAAAAATTCGCGGAAAGTCACTTCAATTTCCTCGATTACGTGGAATAAAGTTGGCTAAATAAACGAAATGTACGCGATGTCTCATTTGTGGAGATGAGTCATGAAATTATGGGAAATGTCTCGTCCATTTCCCTTTTTCTCGTTTATTACCGCGAATCCTGTTTGGTTTATCTGCAATTGCAGAACCTCCGGTTTAATGAATGACGAAGGGGTGATATTAAAGTCGGAGTACCCGTGAAAATTTATGACTTTTCAGAAGTTTGCAAATTCTGTTATTGTGAGAATCCAATTATCATTTCGATTGTGTGTAATTGTCTCGCAGATTGGATTCCAACGGAATTTCCTTCTGAAACTGCCGTTCATTTTCTGCAGGAAATTAGTTGTAGCTGAAGAGGAATCTCCACGAGAAAGAAAATAATAATTCTGTCATTTTCATTAATTCCCAGAAAATAATCAATTGTTATAATTATTAGTTTGTAACCAAATTTCCTCCAGAGGTTTAATTTTTATAAATTACATTTTTCACGCAATAAAAATCTGTAACAATTCCATGAAATTTTCCCCGAAATTTTGTTTTTTTGGAATTGCGGAAGAATTACGTCATGTTGATTGATTATTATTATTACTGTATTGATTTTTTCTGTGGAAAAGAATAATTATCTACATTCCGTTGTGACTCGAGAACCGGCGTTTTCTCATCGGAGAACTTGGAGGTCAGAGATCCGCATTTCAACCCCTTCCATCAATCGGAAGAAGTATATAGTACATGGAGTATATACAGGATGTAGAGTGGAATCTCTCGGTCGGGGGAATCACGTCCGTACCTTAAGACTCCCGACAGGTCGTTCGATCCTTCGCCGAGGCTCGGGGTTAAGGAGCAATTCCCCAACGATGAATTTATGAGCTCCTCAGGATTAGCACACCTCGCCTGTAATAAAAGGCACGTGCCATTTTTTTATCCCCTCCTAGGGTTTCCATGATCTGACCTGACCTTTGGGGGTTGCGCAATTCTTCGCGGGGTGCGAAAACCATCCGAAAATTCAAAATTGTCATGAAAAAGTCACAGAACTGTCGCGGGAAAAAATTACCGGGACTGGTCGGTAAGGTTGAACCATTGCGAGTTAATCCCAGATATTAATGTTCAATCGAGTAAAATTTCATAGGTCCCATCTCGGTGGATTCAATGCGTACAATGGGCCCAGAAGAGGAACCAATCATATGCTGTCCGATAAAGGGAAACTCCCGAAGACTGACGGTATTGGCCGAAGTGTATCATCAGTCACTGAGAAAGTCATGAGCGAATATTTTACTTTCTCACGCATAAATATTGCGCAAAACTCTAGTGATTTTTTCTGCATTTCCCTTGACTTTTCATCAATACATGAAAAACCCCCATTTACTGGTAAGAGACTAGTAATTTTTCATGGTCATTTCTCCCCGTATGCCACTTATATAATTTTCATATTTTTTCTCCGCGGGTTTATTCTCCGCGGCCTGTTTTTAGCAAAAAATCGTGAGGGTGCAAAGACCCGACGAGTTAAATTCCACACTGGAATCTCCATTCATTCCACCCAGTCTTTCGGATAATCCTCTCCCACCCACATCTCACGGAGTAATGGAAAAGGGAAAGAGAGACCGGAACGTGTCGCTAACGCAATAACATTTCAATTCGAAGGACGGAAATTGCCGAAAGGCATATATATACCCTAGGCCACGGACAGAGAAATACCCGATGCTTTCCCGTTGAATTTTATTTCATTGCCGTCATACTTTGTCCGCTCTCGCCTTTTTCTTTATTCCCCCTCATCGACTCCCATTTCAGTATTTCCCCCGATCATCAATTTTCCCCTTTCCCCATCCCTCCTCCTCCTCATTGCTTTTCATTTTCCCGTTTTTTCCCTTTTCAAACAAAAATATCAAAGCAACAAATTTTAACCAACGAAAAATAGAATGAGAATGAAATTTCTCCGAATGTTTGCTTTGAACGCTCGTCCTACAGATTCATTGTCTATTTACCATCGATTACGCAACATCTGTTGAAATCCATCGATGGAATTACACAAGACATGCAATAATCATTTCCAATAATTGGAAACAGCCAATATCCACGAATCTACATTAAATCGAGCACTAGAAATGCCAAACAATACCAAATTACTCTTCCGGGTGCATCAACTCGGGTTCAATCGAAATTTCATTAATTTCAATGGCTCCATTGTCTTACCTTCCAACAGATTGTTCATTATCCCTTCGAATAGCGCGTAATCTATCCGATACACTTGCGAGTTAATTAGGGAATATTGGAGGGACAAAGTGTCTAGCTGTTATATGGGTGGGGATTTATCTTTTTCAAGCTCTTTTACGAGCCCCTGCTTTATTTACTTGACGTTTTTTTATTTATTTTTAAATAAAAGGGCCCTGGGGCTAGAACAAATTAAGTAGTAGAAGCCGAGGAGAGGACTGCACATAAGGAAGAGACTGTCTTGGGGGCCTCCAACTTCTCGGTTTTAGTCGGGAAAAGCTGAGGATGCAAGAAAGGCTTACGTAATTGCAATGGCAACCTGAAAATACCCTGCGAGCGTTGTATATGGGTTTTATTCCCCCTCGGGTTTTAATTAGTGCGACATACTTTTTTTTTTGCACCAGCAGCAATGAAAAGTGCTACCTTCGCACTGAATTCTCGCTGATGACGAACTCAATCCACTTTTTTTATTCTGTTGCTTTTTTTTTTAAATGGGAGCATTATTATTACTTCGTATTTTGACGTTTGGCTTTTTCAGTTATCGATGTCTTTAAATATCGATTTATCTGAACAATTTGTATCGATCCCCAGAGAAAATTTAATTACTTGCAA